TATGTCACTCTCCTGCCCTCCAACTATCTCCACACAAAAAATCACGCCAATCTGCAAAGCCGTTTCGACGTGAAAGAAAGACAAACAAACAAACAAACAAACAAACAAACAAACAAACAAACAAACAAACAAACAAACAAACAAACAAACAAACAATTATAATATTAAGTATAGATATAGTATGAAAATTACCTTACAAAGGACAAATGTAACTAAATATTATACAAACATTTTTAAAATATTTTATGATACTTAATCAACATTTATTATAATATTTTAGCTATTTACATCGCGAAGCATGGCCGAAGGAAGTATATTTGTATGTAACTATGTAAAATATGGAATTATGTATATTTATAGTGTTTTAAATAACTCTATAATTAGTTCCCTTGTTAACGATAGCAATTAAAATTATAATTTTAACTTCATATTAAGCTTAAAAGCTTTAGCATAAATTAAAAATTTGTCTTGACACGCCTTCGTAATCTACAAACTTTAGATATTAAATAAGTAAATGCCATAAGATAATCAAGGCTTATAATACACGTACGACCACTTTTTCTCATTTTAATCTGTACGAAATGTCAAAACTTTAAAAAATAAACTTGTCAGAAATATATATATTTTTTCATTTTTATAAAATCATCCCCTACCAAGAGAGTGTTAGCTAAGCTCTACAGTCTACATAATAATTGAACCCTTCTAACATCTCACTGCTGGACACGAGTTTCACTTCATTGCTAGCGAGATCAAGCCATAGCCCACCACCCTGTGAAATACGAGACAACAGACTTATCAATCATTTCTTTCGAAAACTAGCAAGATTCTCTCAGATATTCAGCTTTTCTCAAGATGTTTTCTCCACTATAAGGAGAGTGGTAATCATGTTGAAAAATATATTTTTTTAGTTTTGTAGCAAGCGTATTATCTGGACTATCAGTGTCTTAAGCTTATAAATTAAAAAATATTATACATTAAACATCATCAAACATAATTTGAAACTGTGAGATAAATCAATAAAATATGTATAGCAATATCTGCCGCGGTTGATTCATATCACCCCTTAGACATGGTAGTATTAACTTATATATGTTTCACAACATAACACAACAAATACCACGGTTACATATTTCCTAGTGGAATATTGCAATATTTCCTTTTAACCTCTTTCGCCGATAGACTAAATGCATCTTTACGTAAGTTATTGCGTCGTCTCGTCGTTTACAGCATCTTCCCGCTGTGAAATTGCCTATTGCTTGTTTAATTTAATTGATTTGTTGCATTGTGTGGTTTGCCACTTTCTTGCAACTTGCTGACGTTTTAGAAATAAATAATTTTTTACGCCGAAAACATTTTGTTAATAAAATTTAAAGTACCTTACATGTCCGAAAAGCTTTAACACCTCCAGTTAAAATTCTAAGAAATCTATTGTTAACTGACACGCCGGCGTGTCCGCGGTCGTGGAGGGATTAAATTTATATTATAACAAATTACGTCAAAACGAACGCTTAATTTAACTAAATTATTATATTTTACACATATTTCTATAACATAATCTATCTATCCATACTTTTTTGAAACTTTTTTAAAAGTTTTGTATAAACATTTAATTTATCTAAATAACATCGTCAATATATTTTAAATATGTTAACATAATTGATCTTATTTACACTAATCTTTTTAATATTGTGACCTTTTTATAATACGCATTTTATTATTTACAGATAAATAAGGAAATCTATAAATTAACCGAATCTGAAGTATACTATTCATAATATTACCTAATTACATAATTATTCAAAGTTCAATATGATGAATATCAACTTGGTTAAACATTTTAAGGTATTTTAAAACGAAATCCATATATTATCTATAGTGAGAAGTGTACGTGTACGCTAAGAAATCTATACATATAATAAAACTAGCATTCAGATGACCAAAAACTAAATTCTTAGGTTTTACATATTAATATACTCTTACATTGCAGTTTTTGTATTTTTTCTCAGAAATAAGAAATTTTTCCTGGGTAAAAAGTATCCTATATGTTGACCCGGATAACCAGCCATCACCATACCAAATTTCGTAAAAATCCCTCCAGTAGTGGTTTTCTGTGATGCGGTAACAGACAGACAAACAGACGGACAGACAGACAAAAATTCTAAAAACTATAGATTCGGCCTCTGTATCGATAATAATGTTTATTTCAATAAGATTTTCTAAAAAATATCTAATGTACAGATTCGGTTTAGTTACAATTTTATTATATGAATAGATTGTACTATAAAAGCATGTGCCTAACCATAGCAGATTATTTGTTTTGATAGATTTGTTATTTTCTGAACAAAATATATGAAACAAATCTGTAAAACAAGGTAATTGAGAAGGTCACGATAAATTAGCGTATGCAGCACATACTCTACACCGCGTTCACTTTCCCAGGTTCTTCGTTGCCACACACTAAGTTTGGATGTTTATTAAAACAAGTTTTTTCGAAACATTATTAGAGGAACTTAAGAAACTACTATTTAAAATAAACTAGGGTTAAGTAATATTAACCTACAAAAAATTATTGGTTTCATAGATATTAGGAAATATTTTTATGAGCGAAATATTTTAGATACTTTTACCCTGCTCCAGTTTGATTTGAAAAATATCTGAGAAGATAAGATAGAGACGTTTTTGCTTATACATATTATGTAAAACTTTTTAAAGTAAATATGTTCATCATTAAGTAATTACCCACAACATAACCCTATTTTCTTCTTGGCCTAAATATTTACTTAATTAAACCCCATACACGCCTATAAAACACACATCGCTTTTATCTTCTACGGCCTAATAAATTTATATTTTTATTTCTTAAAATTATAATCAATTAGAACTACAAAACCTACAAGTGCTGTAAAGACCACATGCTTTAACAAAAACAAGTTTTGTATGTAGCATCTGGCGTTTCACAGGAAGCCTAACTTACGTTAATGAGTCTACGAAGTGTCTCTATATTCATATATATAATAAATGTGACATTATTATTATTAATAACTCCAGGTAAATTTCTAAGATATTAATTAAAATTCTCAGAAATCTATTGTTAACTGACACGCCGGCGTGGTCGCGTCCGCGGTCGTGAAGGGATTAATCGCTACTATGGTTTAGATCAAATAATAAATATCTAAAGTTTATATATGTAATATGTTGGGACATTAACACACACCACCATCTAGTTCCATGGTAAGATCTACGAGGCTTGTCATGTGGATACCTGATAGTTGATACACTACACATATATAACTTTAAATACATACATATTATAAATATAAACACCCATGACTGGAGTACAAACATTCATGCTCATCACACAAATAAATGCCCCCAGCGGGATTCGAACCCGCGACCGCTGGCACAGCAAGTAGGATCACTACAAACTGAGCCAAACTTGTCGTGTAATTTATTTATATTTTGTCGTACCAACTAAACAAAGACACTGACCGACCGCAAACAGAAATTCTGTCATCACAATATAAAAAGTGATTGAACCCCAAATATTGTAATTTGCGGTGAGTTCTACATAACTGCATACTAATGATAACACATAATTACCATGTGGTCTTTATGATAGAAGTGTGAGGAATATTAGATGTTCTTCCAAAAAGTTTGAGCTTGGGGTATTCATCTTAGAGTTACTCAACTCTAAAATAACTCGATATTTTTAAGCTACATGTCCATAGGTCAAGTGTACCTACAAGTATCAGATTTAATGTGATTAGAATGCAAATTCTAATTACAGATGATATAAACTGGCCAAGAATGAGTCAGAATGAAGGTAGAGGTTTCTAAATCATTAATTCCACATAAATACCATTTTATTGGTAAATATAAGGCAAATATATATATATATATATATATATATATATATATATATATATATATAGCACATATGTATGTACATATGTACATGTATTGTATGGTGGTACGGAACTCTTGGTGTGCAAAACTCAAGATAAACTGTAGATAAACAGATACGAAGAAAACAAATGAAGCATTAACTTAACCTATGATTCACACATTATGTACAAACATTACAACTATTTATTATACAATGTCATTCCGAGCCAGTATGTTCTAATGAATACGAGTATCGGAACATTTTGAATTTTAATAAATTAAGTATGACTAATTTATATTTAAACAATAATATGTAATTTTTAAACTTTAAAATTTCATCGTCCAAAAAGAGGTTTAACTTAAAGAGACAGAGAGAGAGAGAAAGAGAAAGAGAGTTACAGATTTTTTAGGATATAAACTTAAAAAGGCTAAAAATATGCATTATTTATTATTATTATATTATTATATATAATATAAGTATAACTTAGATTATATCATAATAGTGGCTGGTGGCAGTGGTAATGTGACTCAAGTAAACTGCCTCAAGTAACAAGTCGCACGCCTTCATATTCAAGGCTGTCTAGAAACTGGAGCAGCTATGTGAATAGTGATTGATTTTATGTTGATCATTGTAAAATCAATTAGATATTTATGTCATAAAAACAAGTTTTAAAATACACTTCCTATATAATTAACTATAATATAGTATGCATAATTGTTAACTATACTTTCTTATTCCTTAACATATATATAATTTAATGAAACTGTGTTTAAATTCAAATATAGTATAAAATTAAAGATATAATAATAAATAAATAATAATTATTAGACTAGGCCAAAAATTTGTACAAAAAAGACTTTTATTTAAATTGAACCCAAATAACAGTGTAGCGGATACCACCCCTGGGTATGTTTTATATAGGAAAATATTTTTTGACAATGAAATATTCGTATATAGTTACTTAAGTCTTAATTAAAAGTAAGCATTATTTAAACTAAAATTTTAATATTTATTTCACTAAAAATTCAATAATACATATACAAAAAATATTTCACTAATTATTTATTTTATTGTATATTAATATCATTCTATAGATTAAAAAAAATAAACTTACGGACTCTGCTGATATAACACTATCACTCATTGAAATACTGAAAACGTAGAGACACCACAGCAATACACAAACTTGCCGAACCATTTTTATTTTCACCCTCACAGATATAAATTTATAACGAATTTAATTTGTTAAATTTATAAAGAAAATATATAATTTTAAAGTAAGCGAATTGTTTTATCGCGTAGTGGCGAAAGGCGCGCGTTCCAATGCAATATGGATGTTGGTTTGATCTTGCGCCGATTTTTGAAAGGCCCGCGTAGGAGGGTTTCGCGCCTATTTCAACCTGTCATATTGCGTTCCGTTATACATATTATTATAAATTAAATGCAAGACTTAAAAATTGATATCTATTTTATATTTTAAATATTACTTTGCAAATAATAAAAATATATTCTTTAGTACTTTAAAAATATTTTTTATTGCTTATATATAATAATTAAAGTAGTACTCTATTCATCTTTTATTTGCCAATTTTATTCCTAAGTTGAATTAGACATATAATAAACTAGGTAGTGTAACCATATTCGTCACATTCTCTCGCGATAGAAATCTTTAGATTTTTTATCTGCGTTCTTAATAACGTCATTTACAATAGATAAAACAAAAACATAAAACAGGTTACGGCGGGAAAGTTGACAATCATACCTATGATTAAATGTTAGACGACCAAATGCATTAAAATATGTTGTATCACATTACAACGGTATATAGCATAAACTAATATTTTTATGCTCCATTTTAAGCTGTTCATTTAATATTATAATTATTTCGTATAAATATTAGGCTTATAGAAACGGAATGAGAGAAATTTATTGTCATTTTCGTTGATGTGAATACTAATATTTGTATGTATATTATTGAGATTAGACTATATGATTTATATTCTAATCTAAATAAATCGTGTCAATTACCTCATAGGTACCAGATACTGAATCTGACTGTCATTTATACATACATACAGCCCTGGATTTACACTAGGGGCACTCGGGGCTAGTGCCCAGGGTGGCAAATTTTAGGGGCGGCAAAATTCGGAGGGCGGAAAAAAATCACGTTATCAAAAATGCTTTTTTTATTTTACAAAAAATGAAAAAAAGACGAACTAGTTGGTACATTTTAAATAAAACTGTCTGTCGGATTATTTCGCGGATTTATTTTGATTTTTGGTTCCCGACGTTTCGAATGCTGTACAGCAATCATGATCACAATAATAGGGCGGCATTTTTTACTGTGCCCAGGGGCGGCGCTAAGGTTAAATTCGGCACTGCATACACATACACGTTACTGTAAAACTGTTCAATCGTCATATTTTTATGTTCTTGCTATTGTTCAGGTACATATATATCTTCTCTTCATGCTATTATATATGTATCTTAACTGCCTCGGTGGTGTAGTGGCTAGCATGTACGGCTGCACACCAGGAGGTCCTGGGTTCGAGTCCCGGGTCGGGCCAAGTTTAATTATTGAGTCTTTCGGTATAGAAAGTCTCAGTAACAGCCCGGAGTTGGGAAGTTGGCGGTGTTTCACCCCCGTGCCTCGGAGAGCACGTAAAGCCATCGGTCCTGCGCCTTAACTCTCACTGGTCGTGTCGAGCAGTCGTCCCACCGGAGTATGAGAGTGATAGGAATAGAGAGTGCACTTGTGTCTGCGCGTACACTTGAGCACTATAATATCTCCTGCACAGTTGGCTAATCTCAATGAGATTGGCCGCCGTGGCCGGAATCGGCTAGGAGAACATCATCATATATGTATCAATCTCATTTTCTATATAGTTTATAAAGTTAAGTAATGATGGGATGAGAAAAAGGTGATTTATAGGCGATGGACAAACCATGTGATGCTTGTTATTCGCACAATTAGGGTTCCTTTTTACCATTTTAGTATAGGCTAGAACTACCCATCTAACTAGACTAAACTAAAAAAATACTGTAGCAACTGAGAGATGTTAGTAGTGTACGAAAACTGGTGCCACCAACCATTTTTCGGACTACTCCGTTCATAAGGGTGAGGAATAATTATAGGACTTATATTTTAACATTCATATATAACTTATGACAATATTACATTGTTGTAAGGGATCGTTTATATATCTACACATAGAATAATAATAACAAAGAGAAATCTGTACATGACATATTTCAAACAGACAGAGATCAAAATAAATAATCGTTGAATTTTTTGCCTGTTTGTTTTCCACAAAAAAAATATTAAATTGATTTTAAGTAAATTTTGTGTAGCGATAGCTTTTAAGCGTTACTTGAGTACACATTTAGGCTACCTCTTACTATAGGTAAATCTCTCATTCCTACGGAAAAACTACAATTTGAGAAAGAACAATAAAAGCGGAATGTTTGTGTATTTAATTGGTAAATATGTATTGTTTTCGTACGCTGACGACTAACGCTGGCTAATTTACACATACTCGTATATTAAAATAGTAACTAAGCCCAATCTGTACATTAGATATTTTTTGGAAAATCTTATTGAAATAAACATTATTCTCTATCTATCTATAGTCATTCTCTATCTCTATCATATCTATAGTTTTTAGAATTTTTGTCTTTCTGTCTGTCTGTTACCGCATCACAGAAAAATCACTGGAGGGATTTTGATGAAATTTGGTATGGTGATCGCTGATTATCCGGGTCAACATATAGAATACTTTTTACCGCGGGAAAATATCTCATTTCTAAGAAAAATACAAAAACTGCAATGTAAGAGTATACTAATATGTAGAACCTAAGAATTTGGTTTTTGGTCACCTGAACGCGGGCGGAGCCGCGAGCAATGCTAGTAATAATATAAAACAACGATCTTAAAAAAACATACAAAAAAATCCTGATAGCATGTTCTAAGATATACTTATAATAACTGTTTGTAGTAACTTAAAAAGTACGACGCACTTGAGCAAAGCGAGGGTAACTCGCTAGTTTATAACAAAATAAATATGTAACTTAAATCGATATTATTATGTTACTATTAAGTATTAAAAAACGTATTTTCATGTGTTGCAAATTTAAAATATAAGTAGAATAATACGCGTAATTACAGTTAAATTACTGTATGAAATACATCGAGGATAACATCGCAATGAAGTAATACAGTAAACTGGGGCATATGAAGTTTATAAATCTAGATTTTCCTTTGTGAAACTTAAGTACTAACTAATCACTCTATAGTTGAGATATGTATGTATGTTATGTAATTATGTCGTTTATTTTAGTGACGAAATCGTTTCCGATTTATCTGCCTATTTGTCTGCATATACGTATGAACCTGTAAAGTAGTACCTTGACTCATTAACTAATAGACCTTGCACAGCCTAAACTGACTGACTTTTCTTTTAAAGGAATTATCTTACGAAATTATTTCTTGAGAATCTTACAGGTGTACTATGACGGGATTTTTTTATTTTATTCTTAAAAATGCTTATAAAAAGGTGAAGTTTATATGAAAAAAGTATATAGATATAAAAATACTTATTAAATCTTATTTCAGACTCAAATTTAAATATTGGCTTTATATCATAAAATTGCGATGGAATGCCAAGTTTTCATTTAAAAATATACGTATACACTACAATAAGTAAAATGGTAGAATAAATGAAATAACATATAATTAAATCAATTATTTTTATTATATTTCGATATGTTACAGCTATGTTAGTTTTCACTAAAAGTAACTATTGAGGGTTTTTTATGCCTATTAGTTATATTATCAAGAGATTTACTAGTTACGGCAGTTGCACTGAGTGTGTTAAATTGCATTGACATGAGTCTACGTTGAGATGTTAAAGTCGAGCGCCTGTCATTATAATATTCTTCGATTTCTTGTAGAGTCAAATCTTTTGTTTCTGGTAGAAAAAAGTATAGGAAGATACAGCCTGAATAACATAAATAAGTTTATTAGTTTATTTTTGCACAGCTTAAAAAATATTAATGCATTTTTAATATTAAAAATAATAGTTATGTGTAGCAATCAACAAAAAACCTATTATTGAAGTTAAACTTCTTTTGGCGCGTTAGAGAAAATGATAGGAGTGATTTTTTTACGATGCGACCAATTTAAACTACACAATGAAGTTAGTCATTGTTAGACTACAGTATGAAGTTAGTTATTACAAGCTTTTATTTTTAATATTTAACAGTGCCCAAACTGTTACTTATTTCTCATTCATAGCTCGATTCTAGATGATCATACAAAAAAAGGTTAGATAACTTACAAAACTTGAAATTTTTGCATTAAAATTATGAACAAAAAATATTTACATGTAATAGTTACCTAACAATGAACATATCCCAAAAGCTACAATCGTGTGAGGAAAACCAAGAAAATCTCTCATGTACGGATAGCATTTATTTGTAGCGAAAATTAATAAGTTTAAATTCATTAGAGAAATACCACCTAGCAGTCCCCTTACCTGAAAAATAGCACACACGTCTAATTTCTTACAAAGTATTGACCTCTCTACTCATTTATTGATTCAAATCTCACCAAAAGACATGGAATTATTCATTTTAATGCTTTTGTAACAAAACAACAACAGTTTGCATTCAAAAACTTTCACGTGTACTATGTAAGTGTATGATAATGAAAGCTTTTGTCTTTGATAATAACGCAATACATAATATTACATTTCTAACTCACTTGTAAGGGAAACAACTCAAACATCATCAGCGGAGGTAGAGTATAATAGCCAGTAGTAACAAACATTATGTAGAGCATGAAACCGATCTGCGGGAGAACTGTGGATTGCGTCTTATTTTGTATCAAAAACCCCAAAGATACACAAACTATTCCAACACCTAAGCCTATAATATTAAATCATAATCATAAATAAGGTTTATTATCTTTGTAAAAATTATGAACAAATGAATTAATATAAATTTAGTAAATCACAGTGCTCAACCGGTTTGGGCAAATTGAAAAAGTTGTTAAACAGATTCATATAAGATATACATATTGTAAAACAGTGAGTGAAAGGCGTAGTAGAGGACTCTTAAAGGCTTCAAGTTTTTTTAATATTTAAAGGTCAGGTCAAAAAATTTACACAACCCCCCCCCTCCATCCCCCCTAACGAGCATGTAAGTGAAAAATAATAATGGTAGACGCGAAAGAGGTGTATTTGTAAGGATCGTAGAGCTTAGCACTCTCTCTACCTACTCCGTAGGATATTATAAAGCATGAGGTTACACATACAAAAACAACATTTATGGTAATATTAAATTTCTATAAGCCATAATAATGTCTATATACCAGAAGTTATCGCCAAAGACCTTCTGCTAACATTGAATATAAGTCCTGCTGTGATTAGTCCTACAATTATTCTTGTAACACCCAGTAGAACATTTCCTATTTCAGGGTTGATTGATGATTTAGATCTCTAAATAAATAAAAAGTTGTATATTAGTTCAACTTATTTTATTTTTTTAATAAATTTTCTTATTTTGATTAATTAGAGGATGATAAGAGTTTATGTGTATATTGGCAACTAACCCTCGCTTTGCTCGCGTACGTCACTAGTGATAAACAAAAATAAATCTATCCCACGGGAACCGTATTTTTTCTGAAATCAAAAGTAGCCTATGTGCTATTTCAGACTATAATCTATCTCTGTGCCAAATTTCATCCAGATCCGTTCAGCTGTTCTCGCGTAATTGAGTAACAAACATCCATCCGTTCAAACTTTCGCTTTTATAATATTAATATGATTATTAATTTGTAACCGACTTTTATAAGGAGGAGGTATCCTTGTATGTTTTATTTTATGTATATGTAACACGATATCTTCACCAATTGTCAATTGGTCAACCTGCCAGTTGTGACCTCAACCGTAGTCCATGTAATATAATTCCTTTTAATTTATTTTGTTTGTAGTCGGTGTATTATTTATTATAATAGTATACTACTCGATATAAAAAAAATCAAAATAAATATTAACTATTAACTCCCTCTACATATTTAAGAGTTAAAAATATAGCAGAAATTCTATCGAAATATCAACTTTACCTCCAATATATCAACGGTCCACATAAAAATAATTGATGCACCAGATAGTTCCGCTATTAGCTTAAATATTGTCATAAGTAAAAATGGTTTATATGATGATCGTTTTAGAAGAGCTGCCAATTGCTCCAAAAAGTTTAACCTGAATAAAATGTTTCAATAATAAGTTATTTAAGAACTCAATAAATAGAAACACATTTAGAAAAAATTACCTACGAATGTTGTTATCGTTTTTGAAATCTATAATCTCATCAATCTCAGCATCTGTATTGTATTTATTAGAGCGAAATTTTTTAAGTGACTTTTGAGCATCTTCTGTTAACGATTTTTGAATTAAGTAATATGGGGTTTCAGGAAGTTTCATATTAAGAAGAAATAGTAATACTGCGAATGCGCAGCTTATATAGCATAGTATAGTCCATTTTAACACAGAGCCCAAGCCAGCCTGAAATTTATTTTGTTTCTAATAACTTCATACAGTATACAAAACAATATATAACATGAGTTAAACTTTTTATTATTAGCTTGTTGCAAACGTATGTCTACGGACGCGGCAAGCGAAGCAAGAGTGTGTGACTATTAGGTTATTGATGATGTCCTCCTGACCGATTCCGGTCACGGCGGCCATCTCATTGAGACTAGCCAACTGCGCAGGAGATATTATAGTGCACAAGTGTAAGCGCAGACACAACGTGCACTCTCTATTCCTGTCACTCTCATACTCTGGTGGGACGACTGCTCGACACGACCAGTGAGAGTTAAGGTGCAGGACCGACGGCTATACATGCTCTCCGAGGCACAGGGGTGAACCACCGCCAACTTCCCAACTCCGGGCTGTTACTGAGGCTTACTATATCATGCTTACTATATAGAAAGACTCAATAACTAAACTTGGCCCGACCCGGGACTCGAACCCAGGACCTCCGGGTGTGCAGCCGTACATGCTAGCCACTACACCACCGAGGCAGCTGTACTACATTATACGTATGACGACATAAGTTGTCCTGTAATTTTTCTACTACACTACGTTCTCTATAGAACGTTATTTAAAAGGGGTTTTATTTATTACCTGTATAGTTATGCCAAGAGACATAGCAATATTGGGGAAAGAACCGATCACACCACGCATATTTGGTAAGGATACTTCTGTCATATAAACCCTTGGTACGCTCATCACCATTCCTATCCCAAAACCAGTTATCATTCTGCCTTTAGCGTAATAAATTATTACTCTCTGAGATTTACGCAAATATTTGATATTTTAAATAAAACAATTTATTTGATTTTTTCTCGGATTTATTTTGATTTTTTATTCCCGACGTTTTGAATGCTTTACAGCAAGCACGGTCACGGGAGAGTCTAAGGCCTTTGATACATCTAAAACAACAAAACGTCGGGAACCAAAAATAAAAAATAAAGATAACAGTTTTACTTAAAATAATAAATAAATTCTTTAAAATCATATTAAAAATGGAATGAATAATTTTACCTATTATAGTAGTTAAAATCGGTTTAAATCCTTAAGTTTTTAAGATAGGTCGAATTTATTATAACAAAATTTACCTATGACATAAACTTACCTATTATCATTTTGGTAGCTGTATTAGCAATACTAATATAGAACCATCCTATACACACAGGAAGTTGACTATAGATTAGCATTGTTCGACGACCAAATTTATCTATCATATAACCACACAGTAAACAACCGATTGGAGAAAATAAAGGTAATGCGCTGGCTGAAATTAATAAATTCTTAAGTCTTACATATGATATCAAATTTAATGGACCTTCTATAAAATAAAAATACTTAAATAAATAATAAATATGTTGGGGCATTAACACAGCGCCATCTAGTTCCATGGTAATCTACGAGGCTTGTGTTATGGATACCAGATAGTTGATACACTACATATATATAATTTTAAACACATACATACTATAAATATGTATGTATGGCTGGAGTACAAACATTAGTGCTCATCGCACAAATGAATGCCCCCAGCGGGACTCGAACCCGCGACCGCTGGCACAGCAAGTAGGGTCACTACAAACTGAGCCAAACGTGTCGTTGATATATATTTCTCGCAAGAAATCCTGACACATTTATGTTGTATCGTGCATTAATGAAAACTAGATGTACTAAAGTTAATTAAAAATTACCTATCAAGGGTAAATATTTTCTCTTCTAGCAAATTTTAATTAAACGAGATACGTTCATTTAGCTTAATATTCCTATAGAAAATTTCCCTTAATATTATTTAAGCTCTTAAAAAGTTCAAAATTATTGTTGACGTGTTGGTATATAAGATACTTCATATTTATTACTTACCAATCCAAGATTCATCAGAAATCGTTACTTTAATGGAAGAATCAGGTAAATTTAATTGTGGGAGAGTAACCGCTGAAAATCCATAAGCTAAACCAATAGAAACCATCGATAAATTAACCCAAACACCATAACCTAATTGAATCATTGATGTTTCCGTCCAAAACCCAGGGTCTGGATAGTTAATTTGTAATTCTTTCGACATTGTTTAAATCATGGTATAACAAATTTTAATTAAATGTTCAAGAGCTTTAGAATTATTGTATTGCCTTATTTTAGAAAATAGCATTTGTGTTTTCCGATACAATTGTCACTTAGACAATATTTTGCATGTCAGAATTTAGTTCTTACATAAGTTCTTACTAGTCTTTTTAAATTTTGAAGACAGAAGATTAATAATTATAATAATTTTAATAATATACCAGCAAAAATAAAGATTTATAAAGCTCAGCATAGTTTTCTTTTTTTTTTGCTTAAATGTGCCATATGAGCTGATATACGGGCTTTGCCATGAAGTATTTCCCAGGAACCAACTTGTTACGATTTTCCTATTTTCAAGATTTTTTTCACATTTTCTATCTGATTTTAAATTATCGTTTATCTAATCGTTTTTACGACTTGAATTTTCAAAAATCCTTCTTTAGTTTTAGCTTTGTTTACGTAAAAATACTCTTGTGCAAATGCACAACAGTATTTTTCGAGCTTTTCGAGTTCTAAAAGCAGCTATTTAGGTTTTATAAAATATATTTTTTTAACTGGATAATATTATATCATCGTGGTTGTGGGAAGAATTGGGAAATAGCCTTTCATATTATAGGAAAACAAACATTTTATTTAAAATAATTCTTATATTATACATTTCTTCAATAAAGAGATCATACAACTTAGTTTATATTCTTTTCATCTTAGGATATATAAAAGGTCTTGTGTATTTGTTGTTAGCAAATTCGGCGACAAAATATGGTTTTGCATTTGTGCCCAATCGATTTTTTATATTTTCTTCAAAAGCCGCTAATACTTGAAGTAGAGTACTTCTAGAAATAGAATCAAATTCGATACCGTGTGCTCGGCGGACCGCTGGTTTATCTGTAAATATTTTTATATTTATTCTAATAAAAATTAATCACAATGACATATTACATTATAGTCCAGTGGGTAGGTTCTGACTTACAAAAGGTCAAGGAGAGATATAATTTTTGTAATGGCCATTCATGAACGAATTAACCACTGGACCAGACATATAAGCGGACGTACCTTTACCGGTCTTGTCAGTCACCAGGAATTTTAGCCTTGGTCGTTTGTTTTTTGTGTCAGTCTCAAGCACTTACTTGTCAACAAAACATCTCCCAAAAATGACTAAATGTTCTGTTAAATGGTGTAAAAACTATAAGGCCAACAGAATGTTGCCATCAATGCTATCATATTTATACAAATCAAATTAAAAAAATAACTATTATTTGACACATTATTATTGGCTCTTTAATTTATTTTATTTTAATTTATTATAATAAATACAGATATTTAAAAAAACAATTGTAAAATATGATAACTATGCTAACCAATGTCTAAAATGTCATTCATTGGTTCATCGATATATGTATTTTATCGATTACGTTCAAGCACTAGAAATATTGTATTGTGTATCAGTGTTTATAATTATGTAATAAAATCTTTGTGTGCGTTATGCGTCACTTGGTTGAACTAGTTTTCATACATTTGTATTTTATGTCAGGTCCTGTCTCTAATTCGTTCATGTGGCCATTTATAACCTAAATGACACTAATGAGAAAGTATTTTGGAAAAACTGGTTTTTGGTACTAATTTTCCAATATGGCAGCGCGAGGTCGCTCAAGGCCGCAAATCTGAAAATTAATAGGACACCAAACTGCAATACTCTACCGAAATAGAACTTTTCTGGAACCTTTGTAGCAAAAGCTACTCTTTATGTTTTCAATGATTGGACCTTTACTCTAATATAATTGTATTGAATTACTGCCAATTTCCTAACCTCATTAAAAAAAGGCTAATATAACTTTTTCGACAGAAAACCCCAATAATATACCTGATCCGAGCCGGGACTCGAACCCAGGTGGACGACGGATTTGCAGCCGTATATGCTAGCCAATAGATCAACAAGGCATCTATATTTTACATAGTTATTAATATAAATATAAATAAACACATATATTTTATAAGTGAAAATTTATTACCTTTTAATCTATAGAAGCCAGATTGGTCTGCACCGCAGCGCGTAACAATAAGGAAGAAGAGAACAATACACTGCATGTTCGATTGAATTGAAACATTTGAGTGAAAGCGTACATACGACTTTTTTTATCCCATTGTAGAGCAAAATCAAGCAATAAACAGTTAATTGGTTTAAGAAAACCATTATGATGAAAGGGGAATTTTTGTTTAAGATATTCTCCTTAAAATTAAAAAGAACAAACACTTTAAGACCGCTCTAATCTATACATATAATAAAATTCTAAGTCAAATCTGTACATTAAATATTTTTTAGAAAATCTTATTGAAATAGACATTATTATCGATATCGGCCGAATCTAGAGTTTTTAGTATTTTTGTCTGTCTGTCTGTCTGTTACCGCATCACAGAAAAACTACTGGACGGATTTTTATGAAATTTAGTATGGTCATAGCTTATTATCCGGGTCAACATATAGGATACTTTTTACCGCAGAAAAATATCTCATTTCTAAGAAAAAATACAAAAACTGGTTAGAATAGAAAAACGATACTATATAGAATTTAGCAGGTTAACTTACTAAATATGTCAAAAACTATTAAAAATAGCTAATCTTGAAAAAGTATATCAATAGCACTATTTTATTCATTAAAAGAAAATATTTTAATGAATGTTTATTTTTGTATTATTTAGATATTTGTAAACAGATGTCGCCATGTGTCTTTATAAAATACGTAGTTTTAATTCCAAAAAATTCAATGTACTAATTCGACCTTTTTATGATTTTATTAGAATTACTACTACGCGTTTAAATTATTAATCTTTTTGGCTTTATAAATTAGTTACATCTATAGATACATGAAAATTTAATGAAGCAGTATCTGTGCTTTAAATATTTTTTGGAAAATTTTATTGAAATACACATTATTATCGCTAACAGAGGCCGAACCTATAGTTTTAAGAATTTTTGTCTGTCTGTCTGTGACCGCATCACAGAAAAATCACTGGAGGGATTTTGAAGAAATTTGGTATGGTAATAGCTGATTATCCAGGTCAACTACTGTACTAATACGAGTATACTAATATATAAAACCTAAGAATTTGATTTTGGTCATATGAACGCGGGCGGAGCCGCGGGAAATGCTAGTGATACCTATATAATGCTCGTATCTTGACATTTTAATTATCTTATTCTATAATGATATATCAAACCCCAAACAAATATACTCGTATAAGGTCACTAGCTTATAGTGTAAAAACACATTTATATACATTACTACACTCATTTACCACACGTAATGCTACCAGTCATATGTACATATGTTGTCCATTATTTAAGTTAAGTTTATCGTTATTTCACAGAGAGTATCCTGACTGGGCTGAGACTGAGATATTATAAATCAAAAGGACAGACACAAGTTCACTCTTTATTCATTTAATTCCCATATTCCCGATCAACATGCATATTTGTACTTTTGAATCGCCAATATAATTAAAAGAGAGTCAGTGTAGTCAGTTCGTGAGGAAGCTACCGGCTCGCCTGAGATGAGTCGGTTAGGAACTCAAAAGTAACAAAACATCGATTTATAACATTTAACATACTCGTAGTATCTATGCAGTATTATTACAAGTCAATTTATCTCCTTTCGACCCATTTTCGTTTACAAAAATCTCTTAAGTAGAAACTAGTAAAATACGCCTTACTTTATAATAACTGTAAATTTTATAATTTTCGCATTAAAATTAAAATTTTAGATTAAAAGTGTAAACTAACAACCATAGAAAAGTTCCACTATCCACCTTTTAGCTTTATTATCAGATAAGCTCGATCTATCAACGTTGACATAATTTCTCAATCTGAAAGGGACTGCCAGGGACTACAATTTTATTGATTAGGTTTGATTATCAGTACCTGAATCATTGTCAAATGGTGCTCGTGTTGACAAATCGAGCCTGTCCGAGATAAGGTTTAAGAATAAGTAGTTTAAAATTGCTAACATTAAGTTATTGTGTGTGTCTGTACTAACAAAATATGATCTTTAATGATAGAAATAAATTAAATATTTAATTAACAATAATTTGTTATTATAAACTCCCATGGTGGTGTAGTGGCTAGCATGTACGGCTGCATATCCAGAGGTCCCGGGTTGGGCCAAGTTTAGTTATTGAGTTATTGAGTATCTTTCTGTTTAGAGTCCGGAGAGCAACGTGTAGCGTCGTTCTTGCGCCTTAACTCTCACCGGTCGTGTCTCGTGTCGTCCCACCGGAGTATGAGAGTGACAGGAATAGAGAGTGCACTTGTGTCTGCGCGTACACGCGCTGCACTATAATATCTCCTGCATAGTTAGTTAGCCCTAATTAGATTGGCAACCGTAGCCAAATCGGTTGGCAGGATATTATTATTATTATCACAAACCAAGGATAACATAAATAATACAAAAATTTAAAACGAATTTAATATTTTATTTCTTATAACATCAACAAATACTTTCATGGTAACAATATTGTTCCAAAATCTGTTCATTCTATCACAAAGAGTAAAGACTTATTCAAAATAACTTATGTACAAATATTATATACATATATTTTATCTAAAAGCTGCCACTTTATATAAATATGTATATATAAAATGTAAAATAAATTATTTTTTTCTAATGGCACTACGTTTCTTTCTACAGTACTTATTATTATAAATTAAATAATACTTCATACAAAAATACAGATATACGATTCTGCTTTATTTTATGAACTTATAAGAAAAACATTCGGTTTGCTAATTTTGATAGTCATTTCAAAATGATCTATGTTATTTAATTAATTAACTTTTAAGATTTATTGTAGTAATTGCGATATAATGATTTATTTAATACAAACAAAATTATTTAAAAATATTCTTTGATTTTATGACTAATTTGACTTATTTAACAATTAATATATCTTATTACTATTGAGAAACAATTATTTTCTTTCCGTAAAATCCTAAATTTAGTCATTTTGGTCAATTTTAAAAAAAATCTTATATGAATCCAAAAATATATCACTTTACTTTAAATTACAAAATTATTTACAAACAACAGTAACTTTAGAGCACAGTTATACAGCACTGGAATTTCTATATCGTCAGACAAATCGTACGATAAGTCGTGTCACCTGTCAACATTGATAATAAATGTAACTTCAAAAAAAATATATCTGAAAACTTCAAATGCTTCTTTAGATATGCAATTTAAGTTGTGGCATATCATATTATTCACATGTTATAATAACTCATTTAATTGAATCCTTAGTATTTTACATGTTAGTTACTCACGCGGTTTCAGTGATACTCGCTTTCTTCAGTACTTTTGTTCTGCCGCTGAAGTAATCTTCTATTTCTTGTAAACTTCTTCCTTTAGTTTCAGGGAGGAATAGGTAGAAGAATGCCATTCCTAAAGATTAGAAAAAATAATATACATATAACCAACCCTGACTTCGCTCACATTTAAAATGATACACACACAGACTTACACGCATATATAAGCCTACATTACTGTTATAAGATTTTTTATTTTTTTTATCTTCAATACATTAAGGAGACTGTTATAAATGTTATTGAAGCTTAACAATTTTCAATCGCCTTGTACAACTCTACGGTAACGGTCGTAAATTCGAATCCCGCTGCCGATAAACATTAATATACTCATGCGACTTAATTAGGTTAAATATGTTCTTTGACTGAAATTTATTTAAACACTAACGTTTGTCTGTGACTCCGTTTGTGTAATATATCATGTATGTACTGAAAAGGCGGTCCGGTAAGTTGGTAAATTCAGAAGAAACTTTTGTATGCAGTTTTTGTACGACCTCAAGGATTTGGCAGGACAACGTCTGATAGCCTACTGTTTCGCACTCAAGAAAACGTTCCAAAATGCATTTACGCATACTAGCTGTACACAAACATGGTTATGTGGGACCCACCGCCTAGAAAAGCCACTAAGTCTCACGTAACCACTAAACCCATGACCACTCTGCTGTCAGAGAAGTACCAAGAGCAACCCGCATGGCATACCGTCACCGAGTTGGGTCGTCTTTCTGTACGTGTTTCTTGGCTTCACGCCCGGCTGGGTTGCCGGACGTTAATAAACCCCCCACCACAACAGGTACATCGATTGGAACCTAGAAAGGCATCAGGCCAAATCCTGAAGAAACGCTAGTTAATATACAAATAACATTATAATATCACTTACCAGCAATGGAAATACATCCATATAAGCCGAAAGCCCCGTAGTCGTTCAGCGAGTGCTTGATGTAAGGGAAGGTTTTGACCACTGAGAATATCGACAGATGCGCCGCGCACGTCGTTATACCACCTATTATACCACGGACCTGCCAAATATGAAATCGACCTTTTAAAACCAAAACAAATTTAATACAAACATATTTATTTCTTGAAAAACAAAAAAAAACGATTATTTATTATTTTTTTATTTTTCAAGAGATAAACCATTTTTGTTCTACAGCGATAGGTCACGCGTCGTATGAAAGCTTTTGGGGATAATTCATTTTATCTTATAGCTATCGATTAAACTAATATTTGCTTTATATTCACGCTGGAACTTAACTGCCATAAAATAAAATGAAGCAACACTTCAAAAGTTTGTGTATTTTATATTACTTGTCCTAGCCCACATTACGGTAAAAAATGGACCTAGGGAACGCATTTTTAATTTAAAGATCCGTTATTATTACATATTCAGTATTTCAGCAATAAGTATCCAGATTTGTATGTCATGTTCAATATTTATCCTATATGAAAATATTATCTTTTTAATTTTTTGCTGTTATAATTTAGTGTTGCTATTATATTTAAAAACATATATGTATTTTTTATTTATTTATATAGGAATAAACCAGCAACACTAAATAAAATTACTAATTTTTATATTCTTTTAAATTGTAAAATTACTTATCCTGTATTTATCCCTAAATGTTTTATATCATACCTGAGTAGGATAGACCTCCCCGATCATAATCCAAGGCACGATCAAGTATCCCAGAGTACAGAATATGGTGAACAAGTAGATGCTGGCGACCGGGATCCAAGAGTTCTGCGGCTGCATGCCGTTGTCCTTCCAATACTGCACGTAGTACATGTACACTGAGAGAGTGATCATTGTTGATCCACAGCCGAGTGCTGGAAAATATAATATATTATTGTATTCAGCCCTTTTTAACGTCCCACTGCTGGGCTCGGGCCTACCTTCAGTACGATGGGGATCAATCCATAGTCCTCCACGCTGGCCATACATGTGCGGGTTAGCGGACCATATAATATTGATACATGAAAAATAATTTTTACTACCTATTAATCGCATAGAATGTGTTGTGTTTTAATTATTTTCATGTAAATACTGAAAATGGAATGTATAGCTTTTGCCCGCGGCTCTGGTCGCGTAGTTTATTTATCTAAAACTTCTCCGTCTTTTAGAACCTTCTTCAAAAGATAGGGTATAAGAAAATCTAATTGAACTAGTATTTCCAGTAATTAACATGTTCACTACAAAAAACTAACTTTTTAGCTTTGTTTGTACTACTATTAGGTATAGTATTATATGATCTGTGTTTGTACATAATAATATAGAGTCAGCAAAATTATATTTCCGTAATAAGAATTAGTTTATTCATGTGCTACATCTATCTATACTAATATTATAAATGTGAAAGTTTGTTAGTATGGATGTATGGATGTTTGTTATTCTTCCACGCCAGGACGGCTGAACGGATCTGGATGAAATTTGGCACAGAGATAGATTCTAGTCTGAAATAATACATAGATTACTTTTTATCCCGAAAAAATATACGGTTCCCGTGGGATAGATTTGTTTTTGTTTTCCTAGAATATTCGCTAGTTATAGAATATTAATACAACGTAAACACATCACTTTTGATATTTTACTAAACATAAATGAATAACCGGTATAAACGGGAATAGTATTATTGAACCAGAAACTTACCAGAAACAAAAGTTAAGGGCCGTCTCCCACATCTCCTACAAAGTATGCAACCGATGACCGTGAATATTACCCGAAGTATCCCCATTGATATCGTGAGGTAGTATTTGTCAAGAGTTGCTCCTGATGCCTAGTTAAAAAAAAATACTTATTAAATAAAACTATCTTTTCGGATTATTTCGCGAATTTATTTTGATTTTTGGTTCCCGACGTTTCGTAAAAATACTTTTAAATATGTCAAAATTCATCGAAATCGGCTTAGTAATTTACCCCTTTGTTTAAACATAACAAACACATTATATATGGAAACTTGTAAGTATAAATGAAAATGCTTCATTTGTAACTTATTCTAAGAAAGTACGCGGTACGTACCTACTGATTAAAACATAGTTTATAATATAATACATTAATGTTCTAATAAAAACTTTCGTTATTTTAAATATGAACTATTTTCGTTATTTAAAAAATATTTGATTGAATTAACGTAATTTACCTCAAAAACTTCTACAGCGTAGAACGTTATGGTGTTGACGCCACACCACTGGTAGATGAAGAAATATAACGCTAGTATACCAAAGGGCTTAAGTGCGGATGGCGACATTAGAGCTTTGATTATTTCCTTCGGTGATTTCAATCTGAAAGTAAACATAATTATTATTTTTTTACTTAGAGTTAAATATGGATAAATTAGATATATAATTTAAATATGATCTACAAATTTTTCATCAAATGGTTCCAAATTCCAATTATTTTTAACATGAACAGAAAGAGCGATAAACGAGTAATATTTGTGTATGTAATTTGTAAATATTTTGTACAAAATGGCTGAACTACGACGGTGTTTTGTCACAATAAACTGTTTTCATTCGCGTACATAATTAACGCTGGCTTAACATTAATAGAGACATCAAAACTAGAATATCGTATGCCTTAAAAGACCTAGAGAAAAGTCTACGATAGCATGTATCTTTTAGCTTTTTCCTAAGATACACATACACACACACAATTTTTTTATATATTTAAAATGTACCTAGGGACGCACCTGAGCGAAGCGAAGGAACGTCGCCATTTTCTAATAAAATACCTAGTATTAAAAACTAAGTAAATTTTCAAAAACTTAAAATTATAACATTTTCTATTCAATTCTATTGTCTATAGCTTGAAGCCTAACATTTCCATAAAAGGAGTATCTTGAAAATTCTGGCGAAATATTTTAATGACGTTATCCATCACATGTCATAAAGTAATTATTACGATGCAAGGTGTAACAAATATAAAACACAAAAGATCGTGACTTCTTAATATTAATAATATAAATGAACGTATGTTTATGTGTGAAACACGCGCCGTGTTTACAGTTTAATGAATTATGTAAATAGAATTAAGGCTTCTATATAAATATATAACAACGTATAATAAACACCTTATCTTTAATTATATAAACGTCTATAATAAAAAATCCATGTTTTATCTCCTTACTTTGAATAAACACAAACAAATGAAAATAACACCGTTTTTGCATGTATACATAAATAAAATTTCAATTATTTTTTCGCATTAAATGTTGTGAGGTATACGTAAGTAAAAACTAAAGTTTAATAATATATCCTGTTACTATATAGGTTTTTGTTATAAAAACATTATATAGCATCAATTATAATATCAAGGCAGAGATTGCCCAGTGGTTATGCACTTGTTTGGAAATGAAATGAAACTCTGAATGTACTTCTGGCTTAAAATCCCTAGAGAACCTAACTTGTTCTTGATAAGTCCACCAATGTGCACTAAATAAAATGTGGTGGACCTTAAAAAGGTCTTAGTGGGCTTTAAAAAGGGCTGAATACATACATACGTATAAATATTTAAAATTATTATCATCAGGATGAAGAAAAAATGCAAAAATACTTACGGTTCAACATGATTCTTTTCCTTAAAAGATATCATCTTTTGTATTTCTTCTTGTAAGTTGCAAGTGGACCCTCTCAGCTTTGCTAGCGAGTTCTTTGCTTTCTCTTCTTTATCCTGAGTGAGGAGATAGTTAGGTGTCTCCGGTAAGAAGATCATTCCTAACAGTGACAGTATAGGCACTATCGCACTGACACCAGCCAATATGTTCCATGAAGTTACACTGCCTATTACGTACTGTAAATAAAAAAAAAATTAAGCAAGACAATAAAGTTTTTTTTTTGAATATGAAAGATTCTCTTATTTTAGACTAAAATAAAAGCTAGATTATTTAGTATATCTCTTATAATTTCGTCATAAAAATATACAATCAACATTCAACCACATTTACACATACTTCAAAAACTAAATCAACATGAAATGTTGACACAACATATTAATTTAATAGATAAGTTACCTCCAAAGGAACAAAATAACGTACATAAATAAAAGTTTGGGCAAGATGACATTCTGCAGTTGTACAATAGTAAGAATTGTTCAATTCGATTCAATTCTTATATTTAATGGCTTGTAGGAGTGCCGTTTGGGCACCATTTACTTCGCCAACGTCACGAAGAATGGAAAAGACACGTTAAGTAAGAATTGTATTGAAATGACAAAAGTAATTATGTCAAAGAAAATGAAATATTTTCTGTTTTTTATTTAATTAACTAGCATTGTCCGCGGCTCCGCCCGCGTTCAGATGACCAAAAATCAAATTCTTATGTTTTACGTATTAGTATACTCTTACATTGCAGTTTTGTATATTTTCTCAGAAATGAGACATTTTGCCGCGGTAAAAAGTATCCTATATGTTGACCCAGATAACCAGCTATGACCATTCCAAATTTCATCAAAGTCCCTCCAGTGGTTTTTCTGTGATGCGGTAACAGACAGCCAGACAGACAGGCAAAAATTCTAAAAACTATAAATTCGGCCTCTGTATCGATAATAATGTTTATTTCAATAAGATTTTCCAAGAAATGTTTAATGTACAGATTTGGCTTGGTTACAATTTTATCATATGTATCTGATATGATTTCTATTCTTTAACGACTGTAGAATAACATGTTGTCCAAGTCCCAGGGTTATAAGAAAATTTGTGTAATTGTTGTCATTGTCACTGTGACGAGATAATCCATCGTTTGACGTCGTGCAGTTAACTAATAAAACCGTGTACGTATTGTTTGTGTTCAGGCAAGTCTAATTTTACGTGAACAAACATGCTTACCGTTCAATTACCGTTTATCAGTCTGGTATGTTTGCGGAAAGGAGCCTAGCGTAATCGTTACTAGCGCCAACTTTAGTTGTGCAAATATTATTCACCGTACCTTTTGTTTAAAGTTCGACAAATAGATTGTTTTTCCACACCATCTTTATTTGTATATACATATAAATATATGTATTATACATATTATATTTACACGCTATCTTGAAAAACCAAGTGAGGAGTGTTCAAAAAGTGGACTATTTTCAAATTGAATAAAACTTGCCTTGCGGTATAAGTACATTTGTTTTAACGTTGGGAAATGCATTTACGCACGACGTGTGGGACTCACTGGCGTAATAAAGCCAGTACTACCCACTAAAACCCAACAAAACCTTCCCCCGTCTTAATGAGGCGTCGCAGGATCGCTTACGCATTCAACTACGACGCCCCGACGACAGGTCTGCCAAAGCAGACCACCACAACCATGGGGTTGCTCCAAGGTCCACTCTGCTATCAGAGAAGTACCAGGAGCAACCCGCAAGGTACACCGCCCCCCGAAGAGGGCCACCTCCCACAGCCCACCGAAGTGGGCAATGCGGTATAAGTACATGCATATTTAAGAGAACCTCACTAGATTTCAAAAGTTATATGAAATCCGTGAACTTGCACTTGGTCAGCGTGGACTGTGGCCAAGGGGAACACCTCCTCACATTGAAGGGAGACTCGTGCCCAGCAATGAGATTTTAAAACAGGGCTGAATTATATTATTCGAGAGTGTGGCTCATAAGGATCAAATTATTGAAAGCACTTATTTATCCGTTATTTTTCCATAAAAACAATAAATTGTTTATAGAAACATCACACGTTAGCAGTAAATAACATTGTTATGTTAGTGATCTATGTACCTATGTCATCTAATGAACATGTCATGCGTATTCATTGCAAATATAATTAATTACAAGGGACCGAGAAAAAACCGCCATACTCGTATTATATATTTTTATTTTAAAATTACAATAAGGTTACACATAAATAATATCAAAATGAAAGTCACGCATTCTACTAGTTGAGCGAATACAAAGTCATAAGGAAATGACCTATTATAGAACTGTATACTATTATTAACTTAATGATAAATAATTTATCGCTTCAATAATTAAAATAAATCTATTGAAACTAAAACTAGTAATTTAGACAAGGAGCCGTTTATAAAAAATGTTCACACTTATTACTAATCTACATCTACACTCATAGTACCTATAGAAAGGAAAGATTTGTGTTTTTGTATGTTTGTAACGAATAAACTCAAAAACTACTGGATCGATTTAGATTTAATTTGGTAAGAAGATAGTTTGAGATCCAGGGCCTTATAAGATATTTTTTTGTTCCGGATCCTATTCCTATCTTATATGATATAGATTTTCATTCCGGAAATCATCCCTTAAGGGGGTGAAAATCTTTATTGTTTGTATAGGGAATCAACGTAGGAACGAACCCGAGCGAAGCGAGGGAGAGTCGCTAATACTAAATAATAATGATACGCAAGCAATAGCTCAGCGTGATAACCGTGTGACAACAAAGTATGATCACCTAACTATTTATCAATCAAAATTCATAAACAAAAAGCTGTTATCAATCGCAAATGCATGCGGCGTGTGGTTGCCAATTAAATTATTTATAAACTAGCCATTCATTATAAACTCTATTGTGATATTATATACCATTTTGATCGATAGCGTACTCTATCGGGTGACTTGTAAAAACAAATATTAACATTGCCTTATTTACAAATTTTGTTCGAAAAATTACTGTTACAGTAATTTATCTACACAACCATTTCGAACAAAATTTTACTAAAAAAAAAACGTGTGTGTGTACTTATGTACGCACGTAAGAAGTTATACTTCTTTGGCGTAACAGAACAAAAATAGCTAAAGATTTCATCCCGTATGCCACAACTCTCTGTGTGTAAAAGGAATGCAGCTAACTTCATCATGTCGCTTTTTAGCTGTCGATGAGCGCGCACATCTTAAAAATTTTACCCTCATATTTTTTTCCAAACGTTCCAAAACAAGTATATGTGACTTTAAAAATGTACTGAACTAACAAAACAATGTATATTTAAAATTCAAGAAACAATTTATTTGATACATAGATATGTACAATCTACATAACCTAATTAAAAGCTACTACGACTGAATGACCAATAAGTAAAAAATAGATAATTCATGTACTCAAAACAACAATGGATGACAACCACTGGCTGTTGTTACGTTCTAATTGTTATCTAGCAAATTTTAAATACAATGGCCTTTGTAGAAATAAAAGAATTTGTTGACAATAATGCGCAATTAAAACAGCATCTGTAGCAAATATTGTTATACGGCTAAATAAATGCGAATTAGTGAATAAACTTCGTATAATCACACTACTATTAGGTATAGTAAATGCAAAAGTTTTTGTGTGTATGTTTGTTACTCTTTCAGGCTGTAACGGCTGAACTGATTTGGATTAAATGTAGTATACTGGTTAGTTACGGTTTAAAGTAACACTTTACACTGTATATATCTTACCAATAAAAAAGACTCCTAGAGTCACACCCGAACGAAAAGGGGGTAAATTACTAATCTATATATATATATATATATATATATATATATATATATATATATAATATATATATATATATATAAAATTCTAACTGAATCGGAGATTTTCCAAAAAAATATTTAATGCACAGAGCATTAGATATTTTTTGGAAAATCTTATTAATCTATAGTTATTAGAATTTTTCTGTCTGGTTTTGATGAAATTTGGTATCATGATAGCTGGTTATCCGTTTCAACATATAAGAGACTTTAACGGGAAAATATCTCATCTCTGAGAAATCTATACAAAACTTTAAAACTTAACTATGGAAGAACCCGAGCGGAGCGAGGGTGAGTCGCTAGCCTTAGATAAAAATATGTACTCAAAGAACAATTAATGTCGATGCGAATATTAATAAAATATATTTTATACAAAAATTTAAGAGGCTTTTTAACATTTCCGATTTAATGTTGGTCTTATTAGTTAATAGCTGCCCCTGATGCAATTCCTATAAGATAAGCCAGACAAAACTCAACAAATTAATTAGGCTAACAAAATATTTACATACACAACAATAAACATACTTTAAAACTCTCTCACAATAATCCTGACACTAAACTATATACTACTTCAGAATCAACAATAATTAATTCGACACATTTATATGTATAAATACGTTCATATATACTTATGTAGAGATAACTCTGTTTGTTAAATATTGCTCTACACAAATGTCTCTCTTACACGTGTCTTTAATTTCACACTTATTTCCTTATAACTGAACTTTTTGCTTTCTATTGGGGCTGATAAAGAACTTTATATTTAATTTTTACTATTTATCTATAGAGTTGTATGAGACTGTATCTTGTTATTTGCTGAAAAAACGACTATATTCCTTTAGCTTTATCTATAAAACTCAGCTCTATCTATTAGGTTAAGGTAGAGTTCAAACATACACAGTAAATAAAATATAGAAAGCGATAAGTCGATAGTAGCTTTGCAAATTACTGTAAAGACAAAGATTATGTTTTAAATAAAATTATCTTTTCGGATTTTTTCGCCGATTTATTTGGATTTTTTGGTTCCCGATGTTTCGAATGCTTTACAGCAATCATGGTCACGGGAGAGACCATCATCATGCTCATGATTGCTGTAAAGCATTCGAAACGCCGGCAACCAAAAATCCAAATAAATCCGCGAAAAAATCCAAAAAGATAGTTTTACTTAAAATGTCAAATATTCGCGTAAATCTAAGTATTACAAAAATTATAGTTGTAGATAGAAGATATAGAAAATAATCGCTAGATAAAGTGCTAATAATCTATAATTTATCGGTCATTGCTTACTAAGTGATTAATGTTGATAATTATATGTTTATTTTGATGTTTTAATAATGCTATCTATCACTAACAATCCCGTCTTGCATAATTTTATTACTATTTTTTATTAGAGTTTAATAACTTTAATTCAACTTTTTTTTTAAATATAAAAAAATGAATATTTTCGATTCACAATATATTACAATATTTTACAAAATTTATTCATGTTACTTGGTATGGATATAAATTATAAATAATTCAATTTACATACACACCTACATATATACATAAGATGACTCTATTATGTTCTATACTATGTGCTTATTATGAGAGTATATAAAGTAATTATGATGTAACGATTAAATAAACTTTACGATTTAGTCACGAGTGAGCGCCGGATATTTGTTCTGATTAAGATAATGTGGAATACAAGAAAAAAATACAAAATAATACAAAAAACACGTATTTTATATCTAACTAACATTGCCCGCGGCTCCGCCCGCGTTCAGATAACCAAAAACCAAATTCTTAGGTTTTACATATTAGTATACTCTTACATTACAGTTTTGTTTTTTTTTCTCAGAAATGAGATATTTTCCCGCGATAAAAAGTATTTTATATGTTGACCCGGATAACCAGCTATCACCATACCAAATTTCATCAAAATCGCTGCAGTGGTTTTCTCGTGATGCGGTAATAGACAGACCGACAGACAGACAGACAGACAGACAAAAATTCTAAAAACTATAGATTCGGACTCTGTATCGATAATAATGTCTATTTCAATTAGATTTTGCAAAAAATATTTAAAGTACAGATTCGACTTAGTTACAATGTTATTATATGTACCTATAAATATATTAAATTCTCGTGTCACAGTGTTTGTAATGCAACTCCTCCAAAATGGCTTGATCAATTCTTATGAAACTCTGTATGTATATTCAGTAGGTCTGAGAATAGAACGCAAAACTATTTCTCATAATTTTTTGGACAAATTTTTTTTTTATGATTCGGCATCAAAATTACATATAAACCTAAATTTTCACCTTCATTAATACATATATTATTAATTATTTATATATTACCACTATGATTACTAATAAAACAAATAATAACAGTGGCACAGTTATATGAAATATAAGCGCGGATCCAGCAGTAGTATTATACAAAAGTTCTTACAGAATAGATCTACTGAAATTATTACGCAACAGTGAATGCCATTTTATGCGTCAATACCTGCATAATTACCATCTATTAATAAACGACGGCAACGTAGCGTCTGTATTAATCTGATTTGCGCTGAACAAGCGTGTCGCTTATACAATAGACGAAATATATTTAAAATCATAGTTATTATATATAATTGTATTGTAATATTTAGTTTAAATAAATATTTCAGTTTTTCAAGAGAGTGTTTGATTTAATCGACGTTTTTTCTCTGTGTTTCGTATATACGTTTGTCGTATCCCGATATATGTCTCTCAAATGTGGCAGGGAAAGACATCTCATCGTAGCTAATATCTTAGTAATTGTTTTAAACATGGGACATAGCTTTGGCTTGATCTTGAAATATTTTAATGATTTGCTCAAAGTGCCTAATTTAAGACTCTCGTTGGCTTTCTTTCAACGTCTAAATAATTATTGTCTAAAAATATTTATTTCCAATAGAATAATCATTACATAGATATCATATTTATTTGATAAAAGATACGTTAATATTTGTTCAAAACTAAAAAAAACTGATTAATTAAGAACTCATCACCTTTTAAGAAATCATTTTAATCATACAATAACCTTTAAAACAAATATGATAAATTATTATTTAATAATGGAATCAATTTAGATCTTTATATACATATAAAATTTCGATGCGTGTGTGTGTGTGTACCTCTTCGTAATTCATTTCACCCACAACAGCTTGATCGATTTCGATGAACTTTTTTGTGTACTTACGGGTTCAACTGAATAGTTCTTAGCAAAAGTTGAACCCGGTAAGGTGGAGATGTTATCGAGATCCAGAATGTTTTAATTAAGTAAATAAAAAATTACAAATTATGAAAACGTACTTGTATCAAAACTCCAGTTGAAACCCCCACAGATGCCATAGCACCGAGCATTCCTCGCAAGTGAGGTTGAGACACTTCACAGGTGTACACTCTCGCTGGGGCGCCCACCATGCCCGACCCGAACCCTATCAATAATCTGCCTGTGAAAAATTCAAACTAATTATTAATTGAAAAAAATCTATTATAAATGTAAAAGTTTATATTTGTATGTTTGTTTGTTATGATTCTTTACGCTTAAATGTATGGACGGATTTGAATGAAATTTAGAACGTAAATAGACCATGATCTGGAGTAACATACATGCAGGCTACTTTTAGTAATAAAGCAAAAATGATGACGCAACCTGTATATATAATAATCCTAGCGACTCACCCTCCTCCTATGTCCTATCCTATGTCTTTCCCAGGGTCTCAAACTGCTTTCTTACCAAATTTCATCTAAATCGGTTCAGTAGATCGAGAGATTACTCCCTACACCCGACAACGTCACAAACTCACAAACTTTACCTGTTTATAATATTAGTATAGATAAAAATATGAATAGCACCTAGTGGCGCATCCGAGTGAAGTAAGTCGTTAGTAAAAGTACTATTCTAAAATTTTCATTCAAACGATGGTTCTTAGGATTAATAGTGTCAATCTCGCTAATTCAATAATAACTTAATCCGATTGATTGCCCTTAATTTTTATGACGTCTCTTATACAATTTTTCTTTACTTCAGGTTACCTATATAAAAATATCTAATTATTTATTGTTAACTCAAAAATAAAATAATTTTAGTTTCATATCAAATAGAATTGGTACTCATAATACTTTCTTAGATTTACGCGAATATTTGACATTTTAAATAAAACTATACCATAATGGGAACCAAAAATCAATATAAATTCGCGTAAAAATCCGAAAAGATAGTTTTATTGAAAATAGAATACTTATTTTAATAAGGTACTTACGTACATTTTAATAACGTTAAATTATTATGTATATTTATTTTCTTACCAATATACATCATAGGGACATTCTGGGCACAAGATATGAGCAGCCAGCCAATGATAAGTGGCACTTCTGTGATGATGAGTGTTCGTCTGCGGCCGATGTTGTCCATGAGATAGCCGCTGATTATACACCCTACTGGTGTTCCAGCTGAACTTAAACTTGCTGTAAAAGTTATTTTAAGTAGTAAAATTGTTTAAAGATTTACATTTTAGGCTTTTGCATTAGTATTTGTACTACTAAATATTAGTAATGAAAAACTAATACTCTATAAATTGTCAAATTAAATATGTATTGTATTTAAAATAATGTAAATAATATTACATATTAGAGATTATTTTTTAAATTTCGTAAGATTCCTTGATAATATTTATAATAATAATAGCAACTATTTTCTTTATCATACTAAAAAAGTCACAAATTGGTACAATTTTCCGTCAAAATGCTAGAGATGAGTCAAAACTATTACATACCTATCCAACTTGCTTGGTTTTCCGTAATTTGTATACTAGAAGTAGCACTCTTCAGCTGAGGAAGTGCGGTTGCCGAAAACCCAAAAGCCATTCCAGTGTTGATAGTGCCTAAGTTCGCAACAAACGATGCAATGATCTGCCTAAACGCCTTGCCTCTGCCTTCTTTACCTGGCTTAACCGACTTGGCCGGTAGAGGCGTCTTAGCAATAATCGGTGATGCCCCATTTTTAATGAAGGGTGTAGAGTCATTCCTAAAAATAAAGAATACATTAAGTTTTCTATTATATAAAACTTTTGCCTTTTTAAGCCTAAAATAATTCGTCACGGTACTTATTTGTCACGTGCTATTGTTGCACTGTTAAGCCTACACAGTACACATCATCACTACATCGCTTAATGTACAAACAATAATAATAAGCCCACACACGCTCATATATATAAGTATATATATATATATATATATATATATATATATATATATATGTGAGTTATAAATATGTAATGTTTACGTATGTAAAGTAACATTCATACGTAAAGATTACATATTTATATATTATCTAATTGTCACCTGTACCTGTACCTTTTATAAATTTTTTTCTAAGGCTTATAAAAAATATTTGGTTTAAAATTTTAAAACAGTTGTCGTAAATATGATTATTTTATTCACGTCAATCCATTTTTACATTTAAAAAAACCATATTAAATGAATTTATTTTCTAAACCAGCTTCGCCCTTGTTTTTTTTCCAAAAAAAAATGTAATATATTTTTATTACTTATAATTAAGTATTAAGATCTACTATAGCAGATGAATATGCTCTATATTCTAATCTTTTCTAATAAAGAGTATCTAAGAGACTCATTATGGCTATAAACAATATCAGCCTGACCTTTACAAGTCCTGCTGTCACATGACTTTGACGCAACCTATATCACCTAACTTTTAACTCATTTGTAATGCAAAAATATTTTTCCAGTTGGAATTATATTTTTATTATTCAATATTCTAATAGATTAACATTTTCTAGGATCCGGTTTGATACATCTTGCACGTGCCAATAGTTAATGCATTTCAAACAAAAATATTGATTAATTATTATTTATATATTTTTGATATTGGTAAGTAATGTTTTTTTTGTAATTTTTGACCTTGAAGGGATGAAAAGGGAAGGTAAAGTGTGTAAAGATAATATTTAGGCAATTATCTAGACTCATACTTATTACAAGTATTAATAATTTCCATTAAGGAAAGAAACAACAATGTTTTTTCGAAATGTGTCAAATTAAAAAAGTATATGAAACTGACGTGTGTCATTAATATCACAGATAGTAGTATAGGCGAAAATATATATAAATATAAATATTTATAATACTGGCACGTAGCATTTATTGAATACTATTAATTATATTTATTGAAAAACAAAAAGAAATCCATTCGTATATTTTTTCGGTAATAAAAAGTAGCCTGTGTGCTATTCCAGACTATAATCTATCTCTGTGCCAAATTTGATCCAGATCCGTTCAGCCGTTCTAGCATGATTGAGTAACAAACATCCATCCAAACTTTCACATTTATATAGCAATATAAGATGTTCCTAAACTGCTTATAATAGTCTACACTCCGTGTTTTTATTATCATTCTTCTCATCAACAGGTTTTGAATTTATTTGTTATACACACTGAGACCTAACAACACAGACTTAACATTCCAATAAAGCTGTTATATTTATAACATACATAAAAAAAAAATTTTATATAAAAGAACTTTGCGTTTTTGCTGAGCTTTGAGCTTTTTTCCTTTACAAACCCTGGATCATTCGTACAAATATAAAAATAAACTGGTATAATTTTCGTCCACACGCGAATAATCTTTTAGTTATACAAAATAGATAATAGATATTTTAAAAATAATTGAACACTATATGAGCCGATAATTACCTTAATAGAACATAATATAATTTATAGAGATTGGTCATTGTATTATATTGTGTTTATTTAAAACACGTGCTGATAACAGTCGACTATGTTTACAGTCCACTCAAAATGTCAATGACTGCCGATCCCGATAGATAGAAAATCTAATTAAATATCTCACATATATTTATTTAGTTCAGATAAATGATTGTTTAATTGATTACTTGGCAAGTATTGCATTGAGATAAATATATATTAATCCCCTCATATATGTACATCATGTGTTGCCACCTCACTCCATGGAGCTTTAATTTTAGTGTTTAAATGGTTTATTTTTATTCTATAGGTACATTAAAACAAATCATATCAATGTTATATATCAAATACTTTATTTACTTGACATTGCCCGTTTTATTTCGCTCGAGTGCGACCCTTGGTGACTCATTCATTGTAATATTATATATTTACATATATTTAACAAATCCGTCCCTCCGTTTCGTCATGAAGAGGTAAAAAATATATACACATACAAACTTTAACATTTATAATGTAGTGTGATAGGTTTAAATAAAAATATCCGTTTAAGATTATATTTAAATTTCCTCTTATTATTTCCTCCATTGAGATTACATTTAAAGATTAAATTGTGTTCTACGTAATTCCTATAAAATTTTTGGTGATCAAATATAAATCTATGCGCAGACGGAGCAACAAGCATCAGACCATTTTGAATATATATTTAATATTTTTTATTAATATCATTGTAAAATGCCAAAATTTAATTTAGTTAGTGCAAAAATAGATAAATAGTAATTAATTACATGACTTATTAAATACATTTAATATATTTAGAATATTTTATCCACATTATACATTAAATCTACAAATGACGAATGTGTTGGCTGTTTCTATTCCGATGATTTATTTAAATCAACACACAATTTTCTGTTCTGTTTCATGGTTATTTTATTAACAAGTATATGAAAATAAGTTATAGGTACTAAAATAAAAAATAAACAAAATTTAAATCTTCATAATAATATATGTTCTCTTATCTGGTATCGTTTTTACAAATATGCCCTGTAGATATATCGCAACTTGCTATAGTAAAAAAATTTGAATACCTTTAAAATCTTGACTATAAATATTCTTTACTAATTCCTTATTTAAATATATTTTATTTAAAGCCATTATAATATAATTTAAGCAAAACAGATATGATTCTATCAGTTATGCATTATTTTTTATGGTCGCTCTACCAAACTCAAGGAGAAATTGAGATAAAAGTGACAAAATTTGAATAGACGTACTGTGTATATGAACAACTAGCGACTCTCCCTCGCTTCGCTCGGGTTCGTCCCTAGCTTGATTCCCCATACAAACTTTCATCCCGTTTTCACCCCCTTAAGGAATGATTTCTGGGATAAAAATCCTATGTCCTTCCCAGGGTCTAAACTATCTTCTTACCAAATTTCATCTAAATCGGTTCAGTAGATCCAGAGATTTAACCCCTACAATGTCAAAAACTCACAAACTCACAAACTTTACCTCTTTATAATATTAGTATAGATAAGCCATATACTTTTATTGGATAAAAATAATAACTAGATGTGGGCGACTAAGGGGAGCATTCAATGATTATGTGGACTTGCCCGATAACTTGTAACAGATAAACCAGTCGACCCTACATTATTGTACAACAAAATACATTAATCTAAATACAGAAGAATAATAGATGTAATGTTTGAATATACCAAATATTAGAATATATATTTCATAAATATAAGTAGTTTTAATACTTTAAATATGAATATTGATTAGTATTCAGAAACATTTAAACTATAAGCTGCATAATTAATAACATATTACTATTAGAATAGTAGGACAAGGCTTAAGATGGTCGTGTATAAATAGATACAATGCAGGTAGCATAGTTTATTTTACCCTTAATTAATAATTCAAACAACCTTACTAAGCTATTATTGCCTATAACTGATAAAATTAATATCTTTCTTATCATTGAATTTGCTAATAATATGATATTATGTGCTTAACGTTGACACGTTACCATTTTCTTTATTTTCCTTATAAGACAAATACGGATTAATAAATGCCGTAAAACAATTTAGTATTAAAACCTAAAGACTGTTATATTTAGATTCTTATGTTCTAGATCAAAATAAAAATTATAGATTTTATTGAAAAAAATATATTGTACATTCTTTTTCATTAAAACAAAACCACTGACTAGAATTACATATAATACATATACATATTGTAAATGCCCTAGTGACTTTTGGCAATATACAAGCGTGATTGTTCGCTGTGAAAAAAAAAAACAGAATAAATTAAATCGTACTAAATGGGTAAAGTACGTAAGTTATAACTTATAAATATAACTTTTAGTAAATGTTGTTTAATATAACTTAAGCCTGGAATATTATCATACTAATAGATTTTACAACAACATTTAGTATACATATTTAAATATTTGCCGGCGCATGATAAGGACTCTATATATGTATTTTATAGCAACGATTGCAGACAGAAAATGTTCGTATAAATAAATATAAATATGTTGGGACATAAATACACAGCACCATCTAGTTCTTTGGTAAGCTAAGAGGCTTGTGTTATGGATTCCAGATAGTACACATATATAACTTTAAATAAACATATTATAAATATATACACCCATGACTGGAGTACAAACATTCGTGTTCATCACACAAATGAATGCCCCCAGCGGGACTCGAACCCGCGACCACTGGCAAGTAGGGTTACTACAAAATTAACCAAACGTATATTTATAATATTACACTCGCATAATATAAAATAGATGTAAGTTTTTTTGTTTTTGTTAAATTATTCCAATTTTCACATTATGTATCTGCTGCACCAACCGTTTTTATCTAATATTTGATACATGCTTAGTTTTCTTCCGTTCCGCTTAACGAAGAAAGCTTATTCACTTTCACTTCAAAAAGTTACTTAATTTATAATTCAAGGGTTACATATAAATTTTAAAATTCAATAGAAGAGGAATAATGACTTTTGAAGTAATCCTAAACTCTGTATACCTTTATAGGTAGAAAATAATTATTTATACTAATAATATAAAGAGGTAAACTTTGTAAGTTTGTGAATTGTGAGTTTCTGACGTTGTAGGGGGTAATCTCTGAATCTACTGAACCGATTTAGATTAAATTTGGTAAGAAGATAGTTTGAGACCCTGGGAAGGACATAGGATACTTTTTATCCCGGAAACCATCCCTTAAGGGGGTGAAAATGGGGATGAAATTTTGTATGGGGTATCAAGCTAATAATAAATTATTAAAA